TTTCATATTCATCTGCTGAAAGTTATAATAATGTGACATCACTAATAGTTTGGAAGTCAACACTGGTCCAGTATGCAACTTCTACAAGAGTAATGTAAAAACTTGAAGGTCCAAGTGCACATACACTGAGAGCAGCATCAGCATCAAAGGCTGTAATATTACATCCAAACAAACTGCACAACAGTGTTTCAGAATGAGTAATAAATGCAATTTAGAGTTAGTGTTGGTTGGAAATATCTGATTATGCTAACCTCAGCATAGCTGTTAACTCATTCAGTCCGATGTTATTACATACATTTTGTAATTTGGGACATATTGTATTATTTCTATGATCTGTAATTTCAAATCTTCCCAGTTTAGATCATTATTAAACAGTGTCAGGTCAAACATGTTGACTACACTCCATATTACTTATTTTAATCCAAACAGATCATATATTCAGTGTTGGGCACTAAGGCATTACTAATATTACATTAGTAATGTAACTTCCCCCAGTAACTAGTAGGGCGGCTGTGGCACAGAGGAAGAGTGGGTCATCTACTAATAAAGATACTGAACCCCAAATTGCTCCCGATGTTGGTGTGTGAATGTGTATGTATGAGTTAGTTTCTGTTTGATGGACTTTGCCATCACTGTGTGAATGTGTGTGAAAGGGTAGTGTAATAGTGTAATAGTGTGTGTGAAAGGGTAGTCTTTGAGTGGTCGGAAGACTAGAAAGGCGCTATACAAGTACAGGTCCATTTACCATTTACCATTCAAAAGGTGTGACAGTACTGCTGCACAATTAGTGAAAATATTATCAAAATTGCAATATGGCTAACTGGAATAGCCAAATTGCAGAAGCTGAAATTTTGTGACAAAAGTTAAAATGTGTGACAAAACAACAGATATAATGAAGTACTGTAGTGCTGCAGAGATCCCCTGGCCTACAAATCTTGGTCTCCAGATGTAAGAAAACATCTTTTTTTGGTACACATCCCAACAACTGTCACATCATGATTTTAGTGTAAATGAAAATTGTGATGCAAATGCCTTGTGATGCCTGATCTTTGTTAAATGCCCCTCTTTGAGCTGTCATACATCCTTAATCTCCATGTCTGCATAACCAGTCTGAATGTACATTGCGTCCTATGAAAAGAAAATGGAACAAACAACATACTGATGACTTTGCTTGTCTTAGAGCTACACCAGAGCCAAAGGAAAGGTCATAACTTCATCCTCTGTGGAGCAGATGTGCTCAGCTAAGTTGCAATTTAGAGTGTGATATTTCCTGTGTACGAGTGAAAATTGTGAGTTGATAATGAAGCCAGAAGAAAGGTCAGTTGATGACTCTAATCGAGTCAGAGTTAGATGTGCTGTTCAGTTGGGAATCTAGACCTCACCCAGGTCAACGTCAAGTTCTCCAAAATCATTAGGAAGCATGCACCACTGTGCTGAATGCACAGCTCTACCTTGGGTCTATTTATTCTGTTCAGGGAGCATGTTCATAAAATCAAGGTGGTGTGATAAGGAGATAAGGAAGTGAGGCTCGCCTTCACATGACTGGACTGTCAAAATGAAACTAGATCAGACGTCTGTGTTTCTTTTTAAATGAGAAATCCCAAGTAAACCAGCGCTAAAATTACACTATTAAAGGTCAAACACTGCGTGGCCATTCTGCTATATCTTGTACAGTATATGTTTGTTCTAGTTAATTTGTTATCTACGTTCCCAGTCCTACCTTCGGAGAAACATTTCAGACTAAAGAATCATGACCAATTAATTGGGGAGAGCTTGTCCAATTGGGCACAATAACAATGTTAGCAGATTTTTTTTTTTAATAATAATATCTTTATTAAATTTTTGTAGATAACAGGATACACAAAAAACAGACACACAACAGAAAAAAAACAGAATAGAAAAAAAGAAACAGCAAAAAAACAACAAAAACACAGGGCATGTTTTAAAAGAAGAATTAAGTACTGCTGCATCACTAGCATTAACATCTTAGCACAAATTCTAAACAATGAGAGGTGGATGGCACTCTATGAACTTCCTTGCTGGTCAGGGTCAGTGTCATATTTAGCAAGGTGAGCCAGAAATGGCTGCCCTATATCCGAAATTGTATTAAAGGAGTCATATTATGC